TCTGCCAGCCATCCACCTTTGAGTGTTGTTGAGCATGAATAATTTTAGGATGGGTGACCTGATATATTGTGTTTTTATCGGTTTAAAGTCTTTGTTTTCTCTCTTACTTTATAAGCTTTATTGAGTCAAAGTGTGTTTTTGAAAAGACCCGACCCATTTTTTTTTATATACATGCAAACCGGATTAACTCAATTAATTCAAACCAGCTAAACTAGCTAAACCGGTCCTAATCAATTTAAACCACTAAACCGGCTAAACCGACCCTAATCAATTTAAACCAATTAGATCAACAATTCCATTAAACCAACCAATCAGCGTTAACAAGCAAAAGACTTAACCAAAAATCCAAATTAAAGAATTGCATTAAGCTAGCAAATCTAATCAATAATTATTCCAGAAACATAATCACCTCTCATGCATCTAAATTCCATGTCTAGCAAATCTTAAACATTTCCTAACATTATTCCAGCAAAACAGTGAGACCCTGGATCATCCTTCTCTCCTTGCCATGATTCTACGTTTACACGTTTCTTTTACCTGCATCACAGAAAAGAGATGCATAAGTATTTCCAGAAATATTTAGTGAGGAAATCATCCCACTACTGGCTATACACACAAGCAGTAAAGAACACATTCAAGCATTAACTAACACAAACAACAAATAATCCATGAAACAATCCAAATATAACACATCTGACAAGTACTGTCGATCGACAGCATCTGCTGGTGTCGCCCGACACTCGCGACCATCCTCGCGAGAAAGAAAATTGGTGTCGATCGACACTCGCCGCTGGTGTCGATCGACACTGAAGCCCTAACTTTGCTCCAGTCGCTTCTCATCGATGGATCTCCCATTCCTTTCACTCCATGGCCGAAATAACACTTCTGCAGGCTCGTCCAAAGACACCAAATCACATAAAACAAGTATACAAGAAAGAGAATCAATCATTAATCAAAAATAACAACAAAACTGTTTAGATAAGCCTTACTCATGCACTCATCTTTAAAATGAATGAACTAGCAACAAAATGGTCACGAGGTACACTTCTCAGATTGGCTCAAACTCTCTTAATTGTGTCATTGATTAATTAAGTTGCAGTTTCCTTGCTTTTACTTTTTGAAGATCTGTAGTTAGCAGCTTTGTGCAAGAGTCGGAATCCTTGAAGCAAGCAGGAGCAGTCAAATTCAGATATGTAGTCGATTTAGTCGATAGATAGCATTTGGTTTTGATGATAGTAGATGATAGATCTCGTCAGAGGCAGATTTATGTGCTATTGTCGGAAAACAAGCTACTTCAGATGGTCTGATGAGCCGTCACATTCGCCCTCACATCCGCTGTCATAGTCGCATACTCGTCACCGGAAATATTTGGAAACCCTAACCATTAATGGGTTGGGCCTTTCATTTTGTAATCATAAATTTATGTTAATGGGTTTGTATTTTAGTGTATTTTTAGACTCATTTTCTCTATTTTTGTGTATTTCGGTTCAATAAACCGAAAAAGAAAAATATTCGGTTAATTTCGGAACGTCTTAAAAACCCTATAACCGAACCAAAGAACCGAACCAAACATAATTTTTATTCGGGTCAATTCGGCAGAATTATTGATAACCAAATAACCCGTAAAACCGAATAAACTGAACCAAATAAATTGGTAAAACCGTAAGAGCACAATCCTTGCGGATGGAGAATTGCTCCCATTGACAAGCCGATGGTTCGTTGGAAAGGAAGAGGAGAGGGGGTTATTTTTAGATTCATACTTAACACATATTTAGGATGAAAATTGTAGTTACTTGGCCATAAAGCAACATCTATAATTTCTTGAGTTAAACTCCAATTAAAAATTTGTCAGTTTCTATAGGTACTTGACAACATAATTTTTCTTATGATACCTTATTCAAGAACTAAATCCTACTGATCGGATGTGAATTAACCTCACAAACCCATTTTTTAGTTAGGTATTTAGAAGGCATAATTTTCTTTGAAGAATTGGACAAAGGCAAAAATGACTTTTCATCTAGTGAGTTCTCGTTTGACCTAATACGTGAATAGTATAAATCTGTCAATCTTCAATATATCTTTCACCACACACTCTATAACTTTGTCAACTTTTTTTTTATTGCCCTAGCTTATACATCTATTGCAACTATGTGCGCTAAATCTGTCGAAATCGGAAAAATATATCAGCTACATATATTTGTCATCACTAGTTTTAAACTCTGCCGTTTATATCTGTCGCAAATAAAATTATCTGCTGTCATATTATATATATATATGTCATTTTAGTCTATCATTCTCATAACATTTGTGGTAAATACATAGATCTGTCACCATAGCAATATCTCTTCTAATAAACTTTACCAACTAAGACATTTATCTATCATCAATGTAATAACTTTACCACATTTACATGTCAGTCCTCCATACATCTGCCTTAATTTTTAACTCTACTACCACTAAAAAAATATCTATCACATTTATCTACTAATATTTAAAAATCTATTACATTTGTCTATCATAAAAATAACTCTGTCATATTACCGGATTTCAAAAGTCTGTCATAACTTCCACCGATAAGCGGGAGGAGTCCCCCCCCCCCCCCCCTAAAACTTTAAAAGAATCCTCTCAAAACTGATGACATGACATTGCTTTTTGTGGCACAATTGTAATTTTTAACCCATATCACTGCCAAAAGGACACAACTCCCTTTTAAAAAAATCTTTGCTCCACCCTCCAATATAGTAATTTTTTTTTATGTAGCAATGATGAAGAAGCAGCGAAAAGCTTGCCAAGAAATGTGACATTTTCTCTAGCAAGGGGAGCATTAAATTTAGAGAATGAAGGCTATTACCCAACATATATTTAGGGTAATTGGTTTAGTTACAAATTAAACAAAAGCTAACAGATGGACTATTGTTTAGGATGAGGAGGGATGTCAACTCGCCTAACAGATGGACTATTGTTTTCTGTATATTTGGTGGACAATCTGTAAATGGACCAAAAAATTATCGTGGACAAACAAAAAATAATGTAATTCTTGTCCATTTATATACTAGGATGCATGATTAGTGGGCTACCGTAATCAGACATGGGTTGAATAGGCTCTGTAAGGAAAAGAAAAGAAGAGATTAGTAGCAGCTGTGGACAATCTTGTTGATAGACAAGTTAAATTTGGTCTTCTGAAACTTACATTGAGGTGTTCTGAGGGGTCTCTTTTGGTTGGGTGTCTATTAGAGAAGTTTTTTCCTCGGCTGCGGACAATATGACCAAAGACAAAAATAAACACAACTTAATATCGATTATGGAGAAATCTTGTTGATAGACATTTTAGATCTGGTCCTCCGAAATTACATCGAGGGGCTATGTCTTGGTTGGGTGGCTACAACAGTGAACAATCTCGCGAAGGACAAAAAAACAGAAGTTAGTATCTGTTATGGAGAAACTTGTTGATAGACATTGCAGATTTGGACAATCTAGAGGCGGACAAAAAACATATTCGGCAAAAAAAAACCCTGAGCAAAAAAAAAAGAAAGCAAAAGAGTTAGATTTAAGAGAAATCTGATCTTTTCCGGGGAGATGCATCGACGGGTTTTGGTTGGCGGCGGCATGGTCGAACGGAGGGTTTTCCTGCGCTTTTCCTGGAATGGGATCGAGGACGTCGGAGGGATGCGCCTCTGCTTCCATCGTTGCGGAATGGGGAAGCGGCTTCCAGGGCCAGAATTTGCTTAATGTTAGTTGTTTGTCCATGGTTTTTTTAGTGAGAAATTTTTCTTCTTTCGAGTTTGGGGAAGACGAAAGTGGGGGAGAGAAACTCAAAGGTCGTTTTCTGACTACTTTCTGTCTTTTAAAGTGAGACATGAGAAAAATAAAATAAAATAAACTAAAACGATCAGTTTAATTGTTCAGGGGTAAACAAGTCATTGTGTTTTGGGATTGTGGCAACCGTGAAAAGCTTTTGGGAAAGTGGGACTGGGCAAAGAATTTGCATTGTTCATGGCACAGACTCTAAATTTCTCTTCGAGTAGTGCACTTTTATATATTTGTTTCGGTATCTAAAACATGCGTGAATGAAACATCTGTAAGATAACTTCTGTTTTCAAAGTTAATAATCTTGTATGGTAACAAATCTCTATAAAAAGTTGACTATTTGTTATTCAAACCTTATTACTCTACAAATCTTTAAAGAGCAAACATCTTTGTAAAAAAATAATACTTTGCAGTGCATAATAAGCTAATAAATAAAAATATTAGAGTAGTTTTTGAAAAAATTCAGCTTATTATTAGGTATTACTTATGAAACTTATTTTTTTTCTTTTAACATTAACTTATTTCACTTATTTTCAAATTGAAATAACCAAAATACTTGAAATAACCATTTGAATATTTAAGCTATATTTGTCATTATTTGACCGTATCTTATTAAGGTATCTTGGATCGTTCCGGTAGTTCAAATTATAATAAACAATAAAATCAAACTGAATTCCATTTTTATTTTATCCTAAACCGGTTCTCTTTTTTAACATCCGAACCAACTCAAACCGAGAGAATACCAAACCAAATCTAAACCAAACTGTAAAATATCCAAAGACATCTAACACTAAACCGAGTACTCAGAATGCCCAAACCTTTCCTAACTGAACCTCGTTTAATTCTTAATTCTTATGCAAACTATCATAATTATTTGTTTCCCAATTTATTTTCTTATCAAATATATACAAAAAAAAAATACATTAAACAGAAAAAGAAAAAAAAAAGGAGATTGCGTTGGCCCTATTAGCTTAGTCCAAATCTTAACTTTAAAAAAAATACCAAAACTCCAAAGATTCATTCCCAAAACGGGCCTAGTCCTACAACACATGTCACCATTCACAAATATTTCCCAAAACAGGCCAAATCATATCTTACATTAAATTTGATTTACATAAAAAAAATGTTTTGACTCTATATATATGATTTTGTAAAGTCTTCTTCAATCTCTCCGCTCTTTTTCCTTTTTGCGTCTTAGCCTTAGGTTTGCTCTCTTCTCTGCCTGAATCCTTCAATCATCTCAGATTCTCGATTTCTCTCGATCCTTCACTTCTACGATCTGTGAGTTTCTTCTATAGTCCCTGTTGATAGAGTTCCTTATATCGTTCTTAAGTTTGATCATAGTAGATTGTGTGATCGTGTTTTTGGGTATGTAACCTTTTGAGAAACACAGTACATGTGTTGGTTTGACTGTATTTAATGCCATGTTTTAATTTGAGGGTTTAAGGTTATTACACAAACATTGGTTTCTCGATATCAAAAAGGTTTCAGTTGTACATTAGTTTGGTTTTATGTTACTTAGGTTTAATGTCGTTAAGTATTGTTAAGGCTAAGGATTTGATTATTTGTTAGTACTTACGTAATCGATTTGTTTGAGTATTACGTAGTTGATGGATTTCTCTAATCAATAATCGTTATTTTTTTCTTTGTTTTTAAAGCGCAGTCGAAAGGGTTTTTGGGCGCAAGCACATAAATCTTATCTTCTTCGGAGAAAACATTTGTCGGCGACGCGCATAACTTAATGGAGGAGAATACTAATTGGAAACCTAATGAACTAGGGGGAGCCTCCGCCGCCAATAATTCTAATGATTGGAGATCACATCTTGATTCCGGATTTCGGAAATCCGTTCTTTCGAAATTGTAAGCCTTCTTTCTGAATACAATTTTTTTTAATCATCAAATTAGGGTTCTTGTTTCTTTTGTTTGATTCTATTTGATTATTGACATTCATGCAAGAGAGTAAGGTTTTTTTTTTGTCTTAGTCATGCTTTTGCTGTGATCTTGTATAACTTCCTCATGATAATGATTCTTATATTATACACAAATAAACAATGCAACTATTAAATCATAAGAGTGTTGTGCATAAACGTTTATGATATAATTAGGCATACAAAAATGTCACTGATCTTTTGCTCTCTTACGTATGTGTAGAGTTAACAAGTTGAAGGAACATTTCCCATTGAAAAGGGAAGATATGATTAGAGAAGTTGCTTCCAAAGTTGAGGAGAAGGCTTATAACACAGCCATAGATAAGGTGCTCAAAGACAAAGGCTAAATTTTGAGATCTTGTTTCCTGTTTTTGTTTTGTTTTGACCTTTTGCTATGTCTCAGGCTGAATACGTCCGGAAACTCGCTGGAAAGATGCATGCAATAGAACACTTACACAAAACTGGACAATTGGGTTCTTCTGTCCCTAGAGCCAATACTTCAGGTCCAGGTAATAAGAATTTTACTTTGTGTGTTTTTGGTTTTGTCTATTTATATGATTTAGTGCCTTAGAAACAAACATATTACTTAGTAACGTTTTGTTTCTATGCGTTTGTTTATCTGAACAATAGCTATGAATCAAGTGCAACCAACGCCGACCTCATTGCCATATACACAGACTCCAACAATCCAAAACTGGTTACCGCAAAACGCGCAGAGCAATCTCAACATCCCCGGGTCATCTCATTTGCCAACTCAAGTCCCTATAGCCACTTCAATGGTACAGAACATAAACAGAGAGATGCAGGGAAGGCAACAACATCGTCCTCAACAGCAACAAATGAACCAACACCTTCTAAAAGAAAAAGTCGGACATGGGAATATGCAACCTCAGCAAATGCAGCAACCTCAACAGCAGCAGTATCATCCGCAAAGTCTTTTAAAAAAACAACCAGTTCAGCAGTCTTTGACTCAATTATCATCAGATCAACAAAACTCTCAAATGCTGCCAAGATATCAGTTTCAGACACAGCCGGTTCGTTCTAGTCCTCAACAGCAGATGGTTCAACCGTCCCAAGAACATAGTCCACTGATGAATGTTCCTAACACACAACAGAATCATCCAACACAACGACAACATATGGTAGAGCAACGAGCTTTTAGGGTGTCATCGTCTCCGCAGAACAATATCGCTAGCTTTCAAGAAAGGCCACAAAGGCAGCATCAATCTGGAAACTTCAAAGCGGCTGGATCAAGTTTGTTGGCTACTCAAGGTCATCAAGAAGTTGGAAAATCTCAACCAATAATGTCACAACAATACCGGCCCGCAGCTTCAGTCGTCGTGCCCTCACAAAGGCAGCATCAACCTAGTAACTTCAATACGCCTGGATCAAGTTTCTTGGCTACTCCAGTTCAAGAAGTTGGACAATCTCAACCAATGATGTCACAACATTACCGACCGAACATGCAACAGCAGAAGACTCAGAAAAGAAGCTCACAACAATACTTGGACTCTTCACAGATGTTTCAAGCTGCTGCAAGTTCCTTGAACCAAACTCAAAACATAGCAAACCAACAGATTCATCCAAATCAATCACAGAGAGCTCCTCTGGCAAATCCATCTAGTATGTTTCCTTTATTACCAACTTTTTTTTATAACTAATGTTCCCTTCTAATAATGTTTTATGTTCTTTGTAGCATCTCAAGATTCAGTGAATGCCACTGGTGACTGGCAAGAGGAGACCTATCAGAAGGTATCTATCACTAACAAGAAATTTTGATTGGTCATACTAAAACTATTACACCAAGCCATGTTCTTGTTTTGTTTTGATGTCTTTGTAATATGTCTTGTAGATAAAAGCCATGAAAGAGAAGTATCTACCAATCTTGATTACAATACACAGTAAAATTATGCAGAAATTGCGTCAGGTACTTTATTCATAACCTAATCTAATTGTTCTGTTTCCGGGACACTTGTTCTCGAATTTATATGTCTTGTCTTTTCTTTCCAGATTGAATCTCTTCCGCCAGAAAAGATGGGAGATGAGCCGATTCCAAAGATAAAGGCGTTCAAATCATCGATTGAACATGTTATGGTTTTCTTGAATGTGACTAAGAACAGTGTAACAGAGAAGCACAGAGACAAGTTTGATCTGTATGAGGAACACATATTGAAGCTGACCAAGAACCACACCATAATTAGAAAGTCAATGCAGCAGCAGCAACAAGGACAGTTTACTACACAAAGTGCTCAAGTCAATATGTCGCAGTCTCTTGAGAAAGATCAAATGAAGTCACAGTTGATGTCAAGTAACCAAATTGGAGCCTCGCCTTCAGTATCAGGCCCTAGGTTGACATCACAGACAGCTTTGTTGCAGACAAGACAGAAGTTGGAACCAAGAGACGAGAGCAAGATTGTGGCCTCCTCAGGAAATGTCATGTTACACTCGAAGACTAATCCGGTCCAGTCTAGTATGTTTCTGCCAAGGCAGCAAAAGCAAACTCATCATCGCCAGACACAACAACCGCAATCTCGTAGGCAGCAGCAACAACAACAACAACCACAACAAGAGAATCAAAAGCTTCAGATACCGAGTTCACATGAGATGAATGATGTGAGGATGAGTCAAGGGGTCAACATCAAAACTGAGTTGCTTCAGCAACACGTTTCATTGAGTCAGCACCAGCTTACAAAGGGAATATCTAATGTCTCACCATCTGCTCAGATACAGTACAACTCTTCTCCTCAGTTAGTGGACAAAACTAAAGCCTCATCGAAGTCTTGTGGCTCGCCTTTTGTTTCTCAATCTGCAATTCCTGGGGATTCTGAAAACCCTATATCTGTGGAATCTCCAGTTTCACATGCTGAATCTCTGGATTGTTCTGTAAAACTTGGCACACATGACGAGCCTCCGTTTAAAATTCTTCCTGAGCAGCCTATTGATCGACTGATAAGAGCGGTGAGTGAAGTAATCATTAACTCTATAGCTTTATTTACCTTCTTTAGTTTACTAATATTAGTTAATGTTTGTGGCTCTTCTAGTTTAAAACAAGATCACCAAGATCCTTGGAACAATCTGTAAATGAGATGGGCTCAATCATGGGTATGGTTGACAGGATGGCAGGATCGTTCCATCCGGATGGAGGATCTCGCGCTGGTTTAGGAGAGGACTTGAGTTTCGAAACAAGAAACTTCACGACAGATGAACAAGAAGAATATCCGAGTAAGAGATTTAAGCGCTTAATCAGCGCTGACCCTCAAGATATGGCACCAGAAACTGATTGGTATAACCAGTTCAGTAGTCTTGAATCTGAATTTGATTTCGCGGTAGCATCTGGCCCGAAAGCTAACGAGAATGAGGTAAATTCTTTAGCCTGTAAATTTCCTCTGTTTTATCGAACTACGAAAGGAAATGTACGATCGAACTAAGTCCATTCTTTTTTTAAATCTTGCAGCCCGGCTCTGCCCTCTTGCAAGAAATCAAAGAGATAAATAGGAGACTTATAGAGACAGTGGTTGAAATATGCGATGAAGACACTTTAGGAACAATTGTGACATGTTCTTATGTCCCTGTGGCTCTCAGTGCTCAATTCAAAGATCATTACAATTCAGGAAAAATTGTAAGTCTCTTGAAACTTAATCTCTTAGTATCTTTTTCTCCCTTTGCTTAGCTATTTATGTGTATAATGTTTGATGCAGTCACAGATTCAACCTTTACGCTTGCTAGTTCTTGGGGATTACCCATATAGTTCCCCGATAATTCTCGAGGAATTCTCCTTGGACACAAGGTAAGTAAAAAATTCTAGAATTTGATTCACAAAAAGGGGAAACTAAACATGCATGGATGATCTTAGAGATTTATTTCTTCTTGTTTCAGTGTACACAGTTATGAGGATTTATCCGCGAGAACCAGATCGAGGTTCAGTTTTTCCTTGAAGGAACTTTCAGATCCAAATCCAATTTCTCTGGAAGACATAGCTCAAATGTGGAATGATAGTTCGAGAGCGACAATGATTGAGTATGCAGAGCGGCACGGTGGAGGCACTTTCAGCTCCAAGTACGGTGCTTGGGAAACTGTTCTAAGAGCTTCATGAATCGATACTTTCTTTTTTGCTGACTCACCGAGAAGGTCTTGAGACTTTGCATATATGTAAAACTTAGGTGGAAAGCTTTTAGCCCAAGTTAGGTTTTATTATATTGCTTGTGATATAAGTAACATTAATTATGTCTGGTTTTTTTTTTTTTTTTTGGTGTTTAAGTACATTATGTTTTTAAGTGAGGGGCTCATGTTGTGTTCTTTGTACGTGTTAACACTACATTCTTCAAAACTGAGAGTATAATCAAATCTACTGAAAATTTTAGGTACTACAAATCATTTTTATAATGCATTATTAGGTTTAAACCCGCGGTACACCGCGGGACAGACTTTATTATTTAAAATTTTAAATTATCTATTTTTATTGAATAAGTTGTATATTGTGTAGTATTTGTTTTTATTTTGGCATTGAGTTTTGATATCAAAATCAATAAAAGTTACAAATTATAAGGTTTGATTTGTAGTTTTATATCTCAAGTAAGTATGTTTAAATTAAAATTAGCTAGTACAAAGGTTTATCGGTGTAGGGTGATTTTGTTTTTTCCGGAGGGGTTGGATGTGAAATTTTAGTTATACTTACAAATGAAATTGTTGGCAAATCAAAAGTTTTTAATTTTTTATTCAAAAAGTTAATATAATTTTCATAATTCATAATATAATTATTATGTAGTATTATGGTGGTTAAAATGTAAGGAGAAAATATAAATTATTTACCCCGTGATACAGCGTATATTAAAAACTTATATTTGGTTTAGATCACATTTTTATTATTTCAACATTTTCTTATAATTTTACAAAAATAAAGACTCTTTAGTTCGTTCTATTATATGTGATCTTGGTTTCAACCTGCAATACACCGTAGAATAATGTTTGTGTTTTACAATTTTTATATTAGTAAAGGATATGATATGTTGGTTTATCCAAAATACTAATTTATTATTAAAATGTGCTTTTAGGTTATACAACTTGTTTTCAAACAGAAAAAAACCCATTGGAACCTTTTTAAATATATAAATATAAATTATGAATATTATTTCAACACTTATAATTATTTCTAAGTTATTTAAAAATTATATATCATAATACTTGTTATTTAAAAATAGAAAACTAATTTTGGAGTGGCATTTAATTTATGTATCATAATACTTATAATTTAATTTAAAAGCAAATTTAAAATTATTTATATATGTTATAATTGAAAGGTAAAACAATAAAATATAAATCTATCTTATTATTATTATTAAACACCTCTAAAGACAAAAAAAAAAAAGTGTCAACGAAATGTGTCAGCTATAATTATGTGTCAGCTATAATTATGTGTCAAACTCACATATCTCCACTGACATCTACAAACTCACATTGTCAACGAAACAGTAACCATTTGTTACAAAAAAATTGAAAACATTAAAGCAGAATTGTCATTGGGCCTTACGGACCAGAAAATCAAAGGCCAATGTTATATAACAAATACTTAAATTAGTCAGCCCTTACAAAAAAAAAAACATTTTAAATGGCCAGCCCTTACAAAAACAATATTATATGAACAAACTATCATTTTTATTACCGATCGAACGCTGGGTGTGTGTGAAACAAATAATCCTGTTTATACGAGCGGGTTATGTTATAGATGGGTCGGAGCATTTGGAATTTTGCCCAGAAATGACGAAAAATGCCCTCTCCAATTTATAAAACTATTTTTCCATAAGACTAATTAAGGGTAATTGAAGGAATTGTAGATATTTTTGAGCCATGATTATATTTGTACTTCTCTTTTAATAGTAGTAAGATATTGATATATAATATCTATTTTCTGATTAAGTCAGGACTTACAACATAGATTTTAGATAAATATATTAGTTAACCTTTATCTTTTATAATTACTTATTTTTATTTTGTTATTCCAACTTAAAAATAGTTGTTTATACTAAAGTTATATCATTCCAAATAACACTATATGAAATTAAATACATATATGGATGAACTTAAGCTTAAAATACATTAGAAAAGAAAAACTCATGTATTTTAATAGCTAAGAAACAATTTAATTGCAAGGCCTCATAAACCCATTTGTTAATGAGACATACTACTATATTTTAATAGCTATGAAACAAATGGGTTAAAAGTACATGTATCTAGTAGCATATGGAATAGTCAAATATATGAATTCAACATAGTATAATTGTCCATGTATGAAAAAGCTCATCTTCGGGTTTACGAGGCCTATCAATACATTTGTATATTTTTAGTTTTAAAGTTTCCCTTTTTTTTTTGCCCAAATTTTTTTTCCCAATTCATCATATTGCGAAGCCTCATAAGCCCATCTGTTAATCACACCAATATTTTCCAATATTTTATTCCAAATATCTCAAACAAGGATCTAAAATTATCTCAAATTCACAACACAAAATTAAACTATTTACAAGAAAATTTTAGTTTTATTCAATTATATTTTTGGTAGACTTTTATTTAATAATTAACAATGACATGAAGGTAAATAGAATTTTTATTTGTCCACTTCAGAGAAGAAACGATTGAGTGAAGGCATAACTTGAGGTGGACGAGTCCTCAGATACTTGCGAAGATTGTGTTGTGCATATTTTTCTCCTTCCTCTTCATTTTCTAGAATTCCCATTTTTCTATGATCTTTATTTATTCTGTCAATTTTGTTTTCAAAAAAATAATATATGTTAGTACAAAAAATAATATATCTATAAATTTGATAAACGAAAATTTTTCTGTTAAATTAGTTAATTATGTCATAAATTTAGTTACTAAATTTTTCTATAATGCACCAATAATAAAGATGTAAAGCAGTTGATTAACAATAATTATTTATCCATTTTAGACCAATTATTCAATTCTTTTGAAAGACAATATTACAAAACTGCAATCTTTCATGATAAACTTTAGGTTTTACCCTTTTTATCTATCAAGTAAAAATAATATTTATTACATAAAATAAAAATATTAATTTAGCAAAAATAATAATAACAGTAGAATCGATTCGATTAATATTAACCTGCAGTCAGGGTTGAACAATGCATTCCTTGTGAGTTGAAACACAACCATGGATGTCACAAATCCCATTGCTCCAAGAAGAGGGTAAACCTATTTTTTTAGTTTTCAGTTAAAAAAATTAATATAACCGTACCGTCAAACAAAGATAAATATTCGATTTTTATCCGTTAAAAATAATACTTTAAAAATAACAAGTTCAAATCATTGTCAAAATCGGAAAGTAAATTTTATCTACAAAACTAATTCAGCAAATCAATCTGGTTCTAGCTAGAACAACATGCTAATACAATTGCTTCTTTGTTAAATCTAAGAATCAAAACTAATATTAGTTTTATTTATTTCTCACCTTAATTAGTTAAAAATTATGATTTGATACAAGGTTCTTCAAAAACAATGGAACAAAACAATCGGACCTAGCTAGTACTAAAAGGGTGACCTAATTATTTATTTTTATATTTTTTTTTAACAGGTTATTTATTTATATTTGTTGACAAGAATTATAAAACATACATAGAAATAATTTTAAATTACAATACAAACACGAAATTTTATATAATAATTTTTCCTTACCTCAGGTCTCACCCAACGCCCCATTTCAAGATGATATATCAAACTTGGTTTTACTATCAAACTTGGTTTTACTGCAACCTTTTGAGGTTTTTCTTTTGTATATAATATAGTTTGGTTATGTGTAAGAAATGAGAATCACAATACGTAGATGGTATTATATAGTGTAGAGAGACTTGACATGCTAATAGATAAGCCCTCATCATTGACATTTGAAAACCCACAGACTTGTTCCTGTGGGCTGATCTTGCTAACTAGGACTATTGGTTCAATTTCTAATATCTATCATTAACTTATGAATAATTTTTATTTCATTTTTAGTGCTGTATGAAGTATTTGCTATTTTATAACTGAAACTATTTTTGATATAAACATGTTTCATATACTATGGCTTCTTATGCTGATTTTTTTTAATTAAGTAATAAATCTACTAAAAACAGATATATAAAACGTAAATTATACAGTAGACAACATATTTAGTTTTGAAGATAATTACAAAATTTATAGTGAGATAACCTTAAATTATCAAAATAATTTGATGGAACCTCAAATATTTAATGTTATATATCTACTTACTAGATATTATAAAGTATATTTTTTTTTTGTTGAAAATATGTATTTCTATACATGTTGTTTATATGCTTCCAAAGTTGTGACTTTATACCACTATCTCAAATCTGTGGGTGGTTCAGCCTTGTCAAATTTTCTTTCCTTCTGTTTGACCTTTCATTTTATTCAAAATTTGACTAGGTCAATTAATATTTTCAAAGTTGTGAAATGATACCAGCTTTAGTCTAAACAAACATATCAGCTTAAGGAGATAATTACATGGAGGTTAATAACTAATATGGTTAATTAGCTGCCTTCCTTTATGAGTTTGGTGCTGTTCCTTAAACTCCATGGAATAAAAATCTGACCATGCATCATCACTAGTAGTTTTTTTTTTAGTATAATTTAGGGTAAATCCTCAAGGCAATGGAAGAACTCGAGACTAATCCCTGAAAAAGTTGCCTACGGATTAGATCCTCTCTCCGGTATTAAAAAAACCATCACTAATATTTGGTGAGCTGTGCATCTTATCATGTTAACGCAAATAATTTAGTAAACTTGATCTATATGCTACAGCTTTTGATAACATCGCTTTTTTTCTTTCTACATCCGTGTTTAAGATCAATATAGTCGCATTTGTAAAAGTCAAATTTTTCATATCCTCATGTGATTTCTCTAGGTTATTGTTTTTTTGGGCAGACAACTTATTATATATTTAGTCTTCAACCTAGTCGTTGCGTACAAAGAACAAATGAAACACAAGCTTACACCAAGGATAGAAAGATAGATTTGACAAAACATTAATCTTCGGTGATTGCTCCATAGACGCTCCGAGACAAAGGCTACATCGCAACATGCCATAAACGAGATCATGGTGTGTCAAATACACTTCTGTGAATCCTTCAGGGAAATTAATATAAGTCACTATCAAAAGAATTTGTGATGTTTGAAGAGAGCGTTTTTAGCTTCATAGACTCCCGACACAAACCACTTTGAGAGAGCTAAGTGACATGGAAAGGATCTCTCCACAAGTGTTGGATATGGGCAATAGCCTTTAGGTATTAGTGGACACAAAACATAAGTCCATGGAATAAAAGAGGGCCTTCCTTATGCTTAAAAGCCCATCAAGCTCCCGAGGGCAAAATCGTCATTCGCAAGGGAGACACAAGGAATTTCTAGGTTTCTGTGCCACTATAAATGCATTGAATCATTGCTTGGAACAGGGATCGATCCAGAAGATATTACCCAGAGAATAAGAGAATCGCTGCCTAACGACGACTCTCTTGTGTTTTGTCCTTCTGTTTTGTAGAATTGCGATTGAGCCATCCGCTCTCTCGCGTTTGTCTTTCCATTTCGTATATGTTCTTGGCTCGGCAGTTAGTCTATAACTGTCGTAGCAGGACTTACTCTTGTAACTCCGGATCTCATTTAAACGTTAATAAAGGAATTAGTTTCGTATCGTCCCCAAACTCTCTATTATTGTTATCACCCCCCCCCCCCAACCCCCGTGTACAAACAATTGGCGCCCACCGTGGGGCTATATGAGACACTCCTTCCTTGACGACCCCGAAGATCCAAGAGCTTCCCGAAGAATCCAAAGCAACATGTCTGACGCGAGCTCATCCAGCGACCGAGGAACGGACACCTCCCGACGTCCAGACCCCGGCGCACCTGTCCTGTCTCCAGAGCGTACCCTATGGGGACAACGGCGAGCACGAACGACTCACTTACCACATCCTTCTGGAGCAGCAGCATGCACCGAACCAGCGAACGTCGAGTTGGAGCGCGCCGAACCGGAGACTGCCGAGACAGCAACCGAGGCGCCAAGACGTAGACCGCCGAACCAACGGCCCGAGTTGGAGCGCGTCGAACCAGAGACTGCCGAGACAGCAACCGAGGCGCCAACACGTAGACCGCCAAACCGACGGCCCGAGTTGGAGCGCGCCGAGCCGGAGATTGCCGAGGCTGAAACTGCCGAGCCAGGGCAAAGATTGCCTAATCATCGAGCTGAGCAAGTGCGCGCCGAGCCAGAAAACATGCGACCCGTGCGCATTGCACCCAACGCTGGAACAACCGCCAACCGCGGTACACACCTCGACGACCTAATGCAGACTATACTCGATTGTCTCGACGACCAGGACGTACGAACTTCTGAAAGAATTAACGCGTTAGGAGAGGCAAACGCACTTACAAGGAGCAAGATTGATCGACTTCGGCGTCATAGGCGAAGCTCTCGAGCTCACGGATCTCGCCTGGAAGAAACGTCCCCTCCGCCCAATCTGTTAGCCGAGCGTGATGAGGGACGAAGACGCCAACCGGCGTCGATCGTTGTGGGTTCTCTCGACGAACTCCAGCATGAGCATCGACCAAGCAGTCGGAATCGGGCAAGCGACCGCCTCCTACGCAGCGAGCAGCACCCGACAATCGGGAGACGCCTAACCAGCCGACCTGCTAGCGAGGAAAGTTAGGCCCGTAACCAGGAATTCGTACAACTGCAAGCGCAGGTCAAGAAGCTGTCTTCCAAGGTGCGACATGCCAGCACGGCTCCCGATCTAGAAAAGGTGCTTGAACAAATGCAACTGTCTCCATTTACGACCCGGATCACGGACATACACGTCCATCACATCACTAAAATGAAGATATTTCCTTACGATGGTTTCACCGACCCCCAAGAATTCTTAAGATCAATCCAATTGGCAATCGATCGCGCATACTTCACGCCCGAGCAGATCAACACCAAAAGTTGTTAACTACTCGTAGAGCATCTCACCAGAGCAGCTCTGAACTGGTTCTCTCGCCTCGAGTATAACTCACTCGACAGTTATTACGACCTCACGAAAGCGTTTCTCCAGCACCACATGGTTTTCATGAAGCACGGCGCAACAAATGCCGACCTCTGGACCATGTATCAGAAGTTGTTAGTACGATATCCATAACTCCGGGATATTATGGAAAAGTTCAAAAAAGTTGTTAGTACGATATCCATAGCTGACGACGCGGCTATCGCAGCTCTCAAGAACCCACTGCTTTTCGGCTCAAGATTTCGCGACGACCTCATCATCGCACAGCCTGCTACCCTCGACGACTCGATACGCAAAGCCGGTCGATATATTGAAATCGAGGAAGAGAAGGCAGCAAGAGTGGAGCGACATACCAAGGCCCCCGTCCCAAAATCTAAGGCGCCAGAGACCAAAGTATCAGAAGACTATGTCGAACCACGTCAGCACTATGATCGGGAGTATGCCCGGAATGACAAAACGCGAAAACCCACCACCTTTGCCGTCAACGGCCAAGAGCAAAAACCAAACGGCAATAAGCTTTGGAACAAGCGGTACCGCGACTCGGGCACAGTTAATTCGAAACGTGGGTATTGTGAGTTCCACAAATTCGCTGGCCATTCTACCGAAGAATGCCGATAATTGCAAGCGCTGCTCCTCGAGAAGTTCCGGAATGGAGATTTCGACATTGAAAGAGAACGGCGCCAAGCGTTGTCCCATCGAGAAAACTCATACGTTGGAGATGATTTGCAACACCACCGGCGCGACGGCAAACAAATTGAAGAAGAACCCCGCGCCCCCCAAAATGCTCGGCCCCCACCTCCCCTAAAGCAAAAAAAAAAATTTCCACCAATTGACGACGCGTATGCCGGCCGGCAACGCGTAGATATGATAATGGGCGGTCTCACAACATGCAACGACTCCGTTCGCACAATACGAGCATACCACCGACAAGGTGAAAACAGTCGCAGTTGGCTCACGAGGAGCAGTCCGGAAGTCGAATACTACGACCCAATCACATTCACCGAGGTGGACGCCCTACAAACAGGCCCCAACAATGACCCGCTGGTTGTCGAACTGGCAATTGGAGAAAGTGTGGTCACAAAAATCTTAATCGATACTGGAAGCTCAGTGAACGTTATTTTCAAAGACGTATTGATTCGGATGGGGGTCGATTTGCGTCTTGCCGAGCACAACACACTGCCCTTAACCAGTTATGTGTTCGACGGGGACACAGTTATGACTGCAGGCACGATAATGTTGCCAATCTACGTTGGGGGAACGATGCAATGCTTTAACTTCGCCATTGTCGACAAACCAATCGTGTACAACGTTATTCTTGGAACCCCTTGGTTGCATAGGATGAAAGCCGTACCGTCAACATATCATCAGTGCGTCAAGTTCCCGACGCAGCGAGGAATCTACACTTTGCACGGTGATCCGCTGATTGCGCGAACCTGCTTTATCGTCGAGAGACTGCTCCGTAATGCTTGAGCAAACGCCCAGCGAATGTTTGTCATTTCTGAACCAACTCCGAAAAGGGATGCGAGACAAGCTCCGCACAAAGAACTAATTGACTAGGTTAACATCGACACAACCGATCCAGCGCGCTGCGTAGGAATAGGAGCCGATCTGTCACTCCCGTTAAGAGAAGAACTCGTAAAGTTTCTACAACAAAACTCTGCTAATTTTCCATGGACGCTCGACGACATGCCCGTCATTTATCCAAATGTCACATGTAACGAATTGAACGTTGATCCTACCTATAAACCCATCAAACAAAAGCGAAGGAAGTTGGGTCACGATCGCGCCGCTACAGTAAACGAGGAGGTCCGTAAGCTGCTCGACGCAGATTCTATAATGGAAGTCCGGTATCCCGAATGGCTGAGCAACCCCGTCGTTGTCAATAAGAAAAATGGCAAGTGGCAGGTCTGTGTGGATTTCACGGATCTCAACAAAGCGTGCCCGAAAGACAGTTTTCCCCTTCCATATATTGATCAGCTCGTCGAAACAACCGCTGGAAATGAACTCCTCTCTTTCAAGGATGCGTTTTCTGGTTACAATCAGATCTTTATGCACAAAAACGGCCGGGAAAAGACTGCATTTATCACCAAACAAGGAACCTATTGTTATAAGGTGATGCCACATACCAACGACTGGTGAATCGAATGTTCGCGAGCCAACTCGGCAAAACGATGGAAGTGTACATTGACGTCATGCTCGACAAATCCACAAGATCCGCCGAACACGTCTCACACTTACAACAATGTTTAGAGGTATTGAACAAATACAACATGAAGCTAAACCCCGCTAAATGTACCTTTGGTGTAAAGTCTAGAGAGTTCCTTGGATACCTTGTAACCCAAAGAGGCATCGAAGCAAATCCTACGCAGATCTCCGCGATCATCAGCCTGCCGTCTCCGCGAAACACTCGCGAAGTACAACGTCTCACCGGACGCACCGCAGCACTAAATCGATTCATATCACAGTCAACTGACAAATGCCTTCCGTTCTACCAGTTGCTGCGAAGCAACAAACGGTTCGAGTGGGATGACAAGTGCGAGGAAGCTTTTAAACAACTCAAAGACTATCTTTCATCTCCACCTGTACTCTAGCAGCTAGCGGCGTTCTTGTAAAAGAAGATCGCGGCGAGCAACACCCAATCTTTTACGTTAGTAAGACTTTAGACGGTGCTGAACTTCGCTATCCCACTCCCGAGAAGCTCACGTACGCAGTTGTAATCTTAGCGCGAAAGCTCAGGCCATACTTTCAGTCACACTCCGTAGAAGTCCTCACTAACCAACCGCTGCGGATAATTCTTCAGTCCCCGAGCCAATCCGGTCGGCTCGCAAAGTGGGCTATCGAACTTGGAGAATACGATATAGAGTACAAATACCGAACTTACGCTAAATCTCAGGTCCTCGCCGACTTCCTCGTTGAACTTTCACCAGTCCTCGAGCAAGGGGTATCGCCAAACAAAAAATGGACTTTGTGCGTCGATGGAGCAGCTTCAAAACACGGATCGGGCATCGGAATACACCTGCAGTGTCCAACAGGAGAGTTATTAGAGCAATCGATTCGACTCGCATTCGCAGCTTCGAACAACGAAGCGGAATACGAAGCACTAATCGCCGGCGTCCGACTCGCGGGTATCGGTGTTTCAAGCCTATTTTGACTCCCAGCTCGTCGCCAATCAATTCAGCGGCGACTACACGGCCAAAAACAATCAAATGGACGCATACCTAAAGATCGTACGCGAGCTTTCCAAAACATTTGATCTGTTCGAATTCATCAAGATCCCGCGCAGAGATAACGCACCAGCCGACGCGCTTGCGACCCTAGCCTCCACGTCGGACCCAGATCTTCGACGCGTCATACCCGTCGAGAGCATAGATAAACCAAGCATTGATCTCGCCATGTTAACACCCTTGGATACACCACTTGGAAAATCGGACCTTACGGAATCTACTGTCAAAGTCAGCACACCTACTACTGCGAACGCCACCGCCCTGGTTATCTATCCGGCCTCTGCAAAACTTGTCACACCGGCTGTATATTCGACCTCGGTTAGTCGCGCCACAAGCGCAGACTTGACAAATGTAAACCCAACTTCGACACCAAAAAACACAAGTCTCAGACCAGTTCTCGCAATTACCGACGGCGTGCAACAAGCAATACATGTCCCACAAGCCCCGCGAACCATCCACCCGACGCGGCTATAGCGGCCCCGCCCCCAACTTCTTCGGATTGGCGCACCGAAATAATTCTTTATATCGTTAACGGCATAATGCCCGCTGACAAGTGGGAAGCACGGCGCTTGCGTACACGAAGCGCTCAGTACACAGTTTTAAAAGGTGATCAATTTCGTTATACGGCCTCAGCATTCCTCACCTGCGTCGGCCCTGATGAAACAAACGATATTATGCGCGAGGTTCACGAAGGCGCCGGTGGCAATCATTTTGGCGGCCATGCTCTAGCCTTCCGGATCAGTAAAACTGGCCACTTTTGGATAACTATGAACTCCGATTGTGAAAACTTCGACGCAAAGTGTGAAAAATGTCAACGGCACGCCCCTCTTATCCACGCTCCAACCAAACTTCTCCGGACAGCCTCACAGCCATATCCATTCATGCGTTGGGCAATGGACATCGTCAGTCCCCTACCAGCATCTCGCCAAAAGAAATACATCCTCATCATGACGGATTATTTCACTAAGTGGGTCGAAGCCGAATCTTATGCCCGAATCCAATCGAAAGAAGTACAAATTTTTGTTTGGAAAAATATAATATGTCGGCACGGGCTTCCCTACGAAATCGTCACAGATAACGGTACCCAATTCACTTCGCTGCAGTTCGAAGGATTTTGTTCACGTTGGCGAATTCGTCTAAGCAAGTCCACCCCCAGATATCCGCAAGGAAATGGCCAAGCTGAGGCAACAAATAAAACGATTATAGAGGAATCAAAAAACGCCTTAAAGAGAAGAAAGGGATCTGGGCTGACGAACTAGACGGTGTTTTGTGGTCACATCGCACTTCGCCACGACGATCCACCGGGAGAACCTCTTTTTCACTCGCCTATGGCATGGAAGCGTTCGCACCAGCCGAAGTAGAAATTCCAACACTCCGCCGTTCAATGCTTGTGCACGACCCCGCATTGAACAGCTCAATGTTGCGTGACAGCCTCGATGGCGTCGAGGAAGAGCGAGACAAGGCACTCCTCCGCATCCAAAATTACCAACAAGCCGCAGCAAAATTTTATAACAAGAAAGTCAAGGCCCGTCACTTCGATGAAGGCAATTTAGTTCTCCGCAAGGTCTTCGAGAACACGGCCGAACTCAAAGCTGGCAAACTCGGAGCGCATTGGGAAAGACCCTACCTTATCTCTAAAATCGTCAAACCTGGAGTTTACGAACTCCTAACAATGGACGGCACGCCAGTTCCTCGTTCATGGAACTCCAGTAACCTCAAACGTTACTACTATTAAGCGCCACAACGACACCAAAAAAAAAAAAAAAAAAAGAAGAAGCTCGATCAACCGAGCTCGCAATATGAACTACGCTCGCAATATGAACTACGAATGGCTTGATCCCTTCGCAAGGGTACGTAGGCAGCTTTTAACAAATCACAGCTATAACTTTAAAAAAAAAAAAAAGTGATTCAGCAAGCGATGCTCAACGAGCTCTTTCGGATGAGTCCCCCCCAAAAGATCGACAAGCTCAAACATCGTCTCCCTAGCTATGAGTTCGATTACCAAACGCGTTCCACATGGACGCAGTGGTGAAATAATCCACATCTTTACTTTGTAAAGACAAAGCCGAGCCCAGTCTCGCACACCAGCTAGCAGGCGGCAGGGCCAATAAGCCGAGCTCCGGTTCGCACGCTCTCGTCGACCTCAAGCAGCCAATGGGATAAGCCGGACACCGGAGCCCACCCAATTAGTACGACGAGTCCGCTTCGTCTGCTCCTTCAGCTTAGCGTTCCGAGGAGCACGTAACAGGGTAAGCCGAGAGACGTCTCGCCCCGCTAAATATGTCCCGGAACCAAGCGAAACTGCTAATGATCCCTCGCTCAAAATTAAGCCGAGACCGCCTACATAACCTGTTGCGTCACAACATCGCAAGCAAATCTACGAAAAATATAGCCAACATAGAACAAACAAGCAAACTCTGGAAATTCAACGTTCATCAAGTTCGACCAAACAAACAACAACATATGTTCAAAACCATAAGATCCAACAGAGGATCACGAATACAAACGCCGATCCGACAAACCACAACATGCTAAAATGCCGGACAAAAAACTACATCGCCAAAATAAAGAAAATGCAATAAATACAGCAACACCCTCAGTCGAGATCACCTCCTCCGCCCTCAGCGCCATCTGCTTCCTCTGCACCTTGCCTCTCGGCTGGCGGTGGCATCCTCGAAGAATCCGATATAAACTCCGGGAAGAAGTCAAGATCGCCTTCGAGAATTGCAGGAACTGCGATACCGTCAGCAATAGACTGCCACTTAGCACGATCCGCTGTCAGCTTCCCCATCTTATCTAATGGAGATATGCCTTCAGTGATAAGCTTTTGCAGGCACTTTTGGGTTCCCTTCACTTGACTGAGAATCAGAAGAGGATCCTTTTGGGCTCGAAGACCAACGACGTGCCTACTCAACATGTCGATGCGAGAACGATATTCTACGATCTCTTCTCCAACCTTCCGACGCTCGGCCGCGATCCCCTGCTCACGAGACCTCCTCAACCTAGCCGTCTTGGAGGTAAGCATTCCCTTGGTCTCCTTGAGCTGTTCCGAAAGCATCCCAGACTTTCCTTTCTCCGAACCAAGGTTTCTCAGATGACTCTGGTCAGACCTTTTTACGGTCTCTAATGAGGCCCTAGTCAAGTTAACCTCCCGCATCGCTGCCCTCGACCTCTCCTCATAAAAGCCGACAAGGTGATTCGTCCTGCTTATGTTCTGCCAATGAAATCAAAGTCAAAAATAATACCATCATCAAAAAACAACGCGAAGTACAAGCACGAACCTTGACTTGCTCACAAGCCCAATCTTCGTAGAGCTCCTGCCCGAGAAGAGACCCGACGGAAGGAAGCTGAGGAAAATCACCACGTATTTTGCTGGTAAGACCGGCACACGCAGCTCCGTTGGTGCAAAGCATCTGGTCCCTAACGCTGTAGCTGTAGGAGGAGTGATCAACGCCCTCAGCAGCCGCTCGAATAGGCGCCTCACGAACATCTCCCCGAGGAGCATTCAACGGGCTCCCAGACGAAGGAGGCGCGCTACCACTCGCCGACCTCGAGACTTTCTTCCCAGCACGAGCAGCGTTGACTTCAGCCGATCTGGCTCGACGCGAGTCGCCGGTTGGTTCGACGACGTGAACATCACAGTCGGTACCCGCAGAGTGATAAAGAAGAGGCTCGTCAGCCATCTCCCTCAGCCCAAGCTCAATCTGAGGATCGGTGCATGGCACGTCATCCTCTCCAAACTCATCAGCATAACTCGGGATATGACAGGTACCCATCCAAAGGCAATTCGTCGAACCTATAAAACACAAAAATGTCAAAAGACGAGACAGAAAACGAAAGAGAATGAAAAGATAAAAGACGTGAACCTCACAAGTGCGATAATGCGAGAGAATGGCGGGCCACGACAAAGTTCCTTTCTCTAAGATCTTTCGGAGATCCGGAGAAAATTTCCTCGAACTCCTACGGGGCCCCTTCACCGGAACTGCAAGCACAAAGGGAAAATCAGAAAACAACGTCAAAACACTTCATGATTTCCAAATCACGCGAAATCTACCAGGAGATAAATTCCATTCCACAGAATAAGGAGAAGTAAAGTCACAAATCGTATCTTCGTCAACTTTCAAGTAGAAATACAGTCGACGCCAATCGCGGACCTTGCTCGGCACTTCACCACAAAACTTATGACCAGGCAACGCATTTGCGCTAACTAACCCCGGGTTATCTTTAGCACTTGCCATAACGGTCGCTTACTCGAAAAGATCAACGTCAACAGCGACGCCACAAGAAGCCGCCAAAATCACCAAGGCCACCGCATTGCGAATCGAAGTAACGGTGAGCTGAGAAAGGGCTATGCCACGTCTTGTGCAATAACTTGTGATAAACTCGGGAATAGGAAACCACAACCCGACTTCGGTGAAATAAGGTTCGTATACGCACACGTGGCCATCCGGCGGAGTCCACGGTCGTTCGTAAGATTTTGGTTTCCTAACCTCCACGTCACCCAGAATATCACATGCGTCGAGCATAGCCCTCAACGAGTCAGGAGTGCACAATGATGATCCATGGTCCATCGAGGAAGAATTTGTAGCCCAAACGCCGGATAAAGGTCCGTCCGCGGCATAAAGTCCAAGAACGACTGACCGACGAGAAGCTCCCCTAGAGGCACCCCCGACGGCATTCGGATTGACGAGACGATCCATAGACTTCCCAATGCCATGTCTCGGGACGGGAACGGTCGTTTGAAGAAGGTCATACAGCTCTCCGGAAGACTCGTCCTCGATATCACCCGAAACCTCAGCGAAATCACGCGTCGATAAGACTCAATCCCCCGTGTTGTTGCTGAAACTCCTCTAAGGACGCATTCAAATAGAGAGGATTTCCCCAAGACATGCTTACGAATCGACCCGGGCCTCGCCGAACCGGCTCCAAGCTCTCTCCCGCCAAATCAAGTTCCCTCGGCCGAACCAACGCCACAAACGTCACCTTCTTGTCCCACGGCCGAACAAACACCACAAACGTCACACCCTCGCCAACACTAACGGATCCGCCAAACCGGGTACACGCCGCCAAACCGGTACAAGCCTCCAAACTAACAGGTTTCGCCGAGCCAACTTCACTCCATCAAATCAAGCTCGTCTTCGAGCAAAACCAACGGGTCCGTCGAAATGGTTCTCTGACAAACGAAATCCGCCGAGCCAGCTCCTCTTTGCCGAGCCAAGGACGACGGCCAAACCAGACCCTCTTTCTCGCCGAACCAGAGGCACCGCCAAACAAGAGGCACCGCCGAACCAATGACGCCGGCCGAACGAGCTTTTTCCGCCGAACTAGCTCACGAAACCAAGCAGCTCCGCCGAGCCAGGCCGCCCTGCCGAACTGATCTCCTCCGCCGAATCAAGACAACCGAACCAAGCCTTTGTCCTCGTCGATTTCCCACACAACCAACAAGCACCACCGTCCAAAAAAAACAAAAAAAAGTGAAAAAGATAAGAAAAGAGAGAGGATTTTACCTTTACCAAACAGTGAAAAGTGAGGAAAATGAAGAAAGGAGTAGAAGGTGACATATATATAGTGGGGGACTATCACATTTACTGAGGTAAATAAATCAGACCATATTTCTGCTGCTCAACAAGCTTTCGTGCATCCAAAAACGTGCTGAGTCGTAAAAAATTTCCGAGAATGATACGCTCTTCTCGAAAATTTTGCCAAGTCGTAAACATTTTCCGAGAATGATACGCTCTTCTCGAAAAGTGTGCCAAGTCGTAAAATTTTTCCGAGAATGATACGCTCTTCTCGAAAGTTTTGCCAAGTCGCAATAATTTTCCGAGAATGATACGCTCTTCTCGAAAGTTGTGCCGAGTCGTAAAAATTTTCTGAGAATGATCCGCTCTTCTCGAAAAACGTGTCAAGCCACTATTCGTATCGAGAAAATCCCGATCTCGAGAACGACGACGTCAACACCGTTTTGTGTCAACTAACATACCAATATCGCTAAAGACAAAGCCCGTCAAGCTCAAGCAAGCTCTCGCATATCGGACTAAGGGGGGGGGACTATTGTTGGATATGGGCAATAGCCCTTAGGTATTAGTGGACACAAAACATAAGTCCATGGAATAAAAGAGGGCCTTCCTTATGCTTAAAAGCCCATCAAGCTCCTGAGGGCAAAATCGTCATTCGCAAGAGAGACACAATGAATTTCTAGGTTTCTGTGCCACTATAAATGCATTGAATCATTGCTTGGAACAGGGATCGATTCAGAGGATATTACCCAGATAATAAGAGAATCGCTGCCTAACGACGAGTCTCTTGTGTTTTGTCCTTCTGTTTTGTAGAATTGCGATTGAGCCATCCGCTCCCTCGCGTTTGTCTTTCCATTTCGTATAGGTTCTTGGCTCGGCAGTTAGTCTATAAGTGTCGTAGCAGGACTTACTCTTGTAACCCCGGATCTCATTTAAACGTTAATAAAGGAATTAGTTTCGTATCGTCCCCAAACTCTCGTATTATTGTTATCACCCCCCGTGTACAAACAACAAGGGAGGAGGGTTCACGTGATTTTACCTAAATGATGGAGCAGCTTGATATGTCACTATTCTGCTCGGAATTCGGATGGTGTCCTAAACCAACATAGAGAAACTTGTCTGGCATATGCTTTCACATGAGGGATTAACTTTTATTTTTTTAATTTAATTAAGACTTAAATAGATAAATATTCCTTTATTATAAAATGATTAAATTAAGAGACTCATACTGTTTTTAGACACAATAGATGCTCTAATATCTTTAATTCTTGTATATATATTTTTACCTTGTTGCATCTGTTTACATTTCTCTGCAATCACTAACCAAAAACCCTTATAGCGTTTTTTGTAACAACCACATTTTCTTTTGGTTAACATAGAAACTATAAGATTGGTTCAAATGAGCCGGTCATGAGAAAAATTGTTTACATACTTAACAGAGTGTGGAACAGTACAAACTTTGCGTGCGTGGTAATCCAGTTTTACATTTGCATTTTTTGAGATAAGAGATAAAAAAAACTAGTAAATTTTTCCTTACAGCTTGTTCAAGCCTAATTAATTTGTTTTGTTATAGCACACAAAACAAATTAAAATGTTGTTTTGTGGAATCGAATCGAGACCTCAAATACTACTATATTTTTCTGTGTACTTGTAGCACATTTGTATGATTATTTAGAAACTGAAACTCTAACGTTACAACCATTCAGCAGGAAAGTTACTGCGATGGTGACGATGTGATTATGTGTATAAGCAAGATGGAGTGAAGGAATAAGATGACTTGAAAAAAATTAGAATAATATGTTCATGATTAGTTCTGTTCACAAGAGTAATCTGAAAGTGGTATAACTGAAAAAGTGTCAAAAATTGACTACGTTAGGTGATCGGCTCAAATTTGCCATGAGCTACTCTCTCAATTAAGATATCATTGTAGTACTTAGGGATCGAATTCACAAAGACTCAAAGATTACACAATAAATATTAGGTATTAAAATTAAGCTAAGCGAGCAAGGTTGTAATATTAAAAACAGCAAATTAAAATAAAGATTGGGTTTTAAAACAATATGAGAAAACGCTAGGCTCGGGGATTCTCAGAAAATCAATCAAATTAAATAAATTAATAAATTATGATTCAGATTAAGCACCGTTCTTGAACTCTAATCACTAATGTAAAATCTACCAGCTTTTGCTGCGATGATTATCTAAATTTAAAACTAGAACTCCAAATTTCTTTGCTAAATTCTAAAGTTCTAAACCAGCATTAGCATATAAGTTTGATATGTTCACAAAATCCCTAAACCAAATCTCTTTGCGAATAAGTATTTTGCTCACCCTAGGTTCTTTCAGATAACTAATCACACTCTCATGTCAAATCATCATAATATCTAGACTTTAGGTGATCAATCTAAAACTAGCATTAAGAACAACCTATGGTGAAGAACAATTAAGATGGTGAATCCTAATCTAACAAATCTACCTAACAAGTCATGAAATCTCTAATGAGAATCCCCAACCCTAACAAAGAAGACTACTCATATATCATGTAAGAAGCAAACATCATGAACTGAATAATATAGATTAAGAAACTGAATAGAGAAACAAAGGAGTATTGAAATCTTCTCTTTACAGGGAATTCTGATCTCTCTCTCTCCAAAAACTCTCAATGTTTTGCAATAGAATAAAGCATAAATCTTAAAAAAACCCTAAAAACTCAATCTATAAGTCTAAACCACGAACTGGGTTTAATTGCAAATAAGGAAAACTTCTGGGCCGAATATGCAAATCTTCATAACTGCCAAAAGATGCGAAATTCAATTGCCGTCAGATATTGGTGTCGATCGACACTCATACCAAATATGCTCTTCGAGTGCGTTCCTACGGCACATCTTCTCCAAATGCTCCCAAATGCTCCCAAATGCTCCCAAATGCTCCAAAAAGCTCCAATCCATGCTAAATAGCTCTTAATCATGAAATGACTCAAAAAGACTCTAAAAAGTATAGAAAGACTCGATAAAAAGCATTTATATCATTGTTAAAAGCCGTAAATACCATGATATATCATTAGGAATATATAAGAAAAGAACTTGTAGAAAAAATATTTTGAAAATTTTCTACATTCGGAAATAAAACTAAAAATTGATGTTCAGCAATTATTATCTTTCACCGTAAACGCTAACCCTAAACCTTAAAACACGTGTTCATTTATTTGTTCAATATTATTTAGAGAAATTAAGTATATTATAATTGATAAGTATTTCTAGTACTAAAGAAACCAAAATAACAATAACTACTACAGTTAAAATCAAATAGGAAATTAAAAAAAAATGTAAAAATGAAAAGTCTTACTCAAATATTTATTACTTAAAAAACCAAAACAAAGTTATTATAATGCTCTTATCCATCACAAACCAAGATACTGAAAGTTCCAACCTTAAGAGTCGATAAATCAAACATTGTAACATCAATGAAAAATCATGAAAATGCACTTTTCAAGCATTGTACAGAATAACGTTTACGCGATTCGAAGTGCTCTGCAAGCTATCAGCTCCAAAACGTGCCCACATCCTTTGAGTTTCATTCAACCAAGTTGGCAAGTAAAGTTCAACTCTCTCCAATACATCCCCATGTTCCGGCCAAACAAAATAGGCCAACAAATGACGCTCGATCCAGCTACCACAAAAAGGCCTAACCACCAGGACCTTGAGAGTCCTTCTCAAACACCTGAATGAGATACTTGGTGGCCAAAGTGTCTCTGAGTTGATTGCACCATGTGAAGCCATCTATGAAATATATCATGTGCATCATTAGTATAATACTAAGTAAACGTGAATTTATATAGAGTAGTGTGTCTATTAATATGTTATTTCAATATATTTGTTAACTTACATGGTAAGGTTTTGGAGAAAGGATGTTGACAGTGAGGGTCTCTAAGTTTGGACAATGATCAATAAGGAGTTTGATTCCCATGAACTCATTTGCATGCAGATACGTTTCTAACACCAAATGTTGTGTTTCCACATCACGTAACATATCAACCGGATTGTCACACTCTGGTATCACCTTTCATAAGAGAAAACAAAAACATATAAGCTCATAAGATTTGTCAAGATATGCATATATAATTACAAAATTTAAAACTAATAAGAACAATAAAATGTAAGTATAATACATGAATTTTCATTTTTACAAATATTTAAATTTTTTTAATAACTAAGAAGCATGAAAGTAATTGGAAAAGCGGATGATAAAGTTATGTTTTTTTTTTAATATTTTGACCGAAACTAATATTTTTTAAAAATAAAAAATTTTCAAAATACTTAGAAAATGACATAGTTTTCCTTTTTAAATAAAATATAAAATTTATTCGAAAAATATGTTTTTATAACAAGTGTGGCGGTGATCTTAGCTTTTCTATCAAAGAAAAAATGCTAAAAAGTGAGAATCAAACTTTCGTTAGCGAGTTACGTTATCAGAATAAAACTTTCATTTTTAAATACGATTTTTAAACATGAAATAGTTTTCGCTAATGAGCTTTTAAAAGCTATATATGCAGAATTTATCATATATATTTTGTATAAAGGTTTTATATAGGAATTTGTATAATTTTCAACATTGTATACATATAATACAGTGCGGTTTTCCCACCGTACAACATGCATACAACTATATTTTAGAACACTGCTAAAGAATGATGTAATGTGTCCTAATGTAACATATAGTTTATATTGCAATTGTTAAAAATACATACCTCAAGGAGATACGGGGAAACAGTTAATTTCTTTGAAGATCGAAGATCGTTAAGGAGATGAGAAAGAACTTCTCCAGCTTCGTTTGGATCGAATGGATCTTCATATTCATTTTCCACCCCAAAATTCAAGGACACTTCTTTCAACATCCTATTCACTTTCTCAATATGAATGTTCATGACATTCCCGGAGTACTTGAAGAATTCTACATTGGGTAGGTTAAGCGAACAATGCATGTAAGGGGTAGCAATGCTCTCGAAGATCACTTCTCGGATTTGTCCAGTATGAATCATCTCATCAAGGTCATAACAATAGCTGAGACTAAGACTCTCAAGCAAAGGACACTTTGATAGAATAGATTCTATCGTTTGGAGTCGCAACCAACCAAGGGAGAGCTTTCTTAGCCTTGGGTTTGCGAGCCTAGAGGCGTCAATCTTGCATGCATAAAGCTTCAATACTTCGAGGGTTGGTGCAATGTAAACAAGTTCAGGCAATTCAAAAACGATGTCATCATATTTCCACACATTGAATATGGTTTTCCAAAAAGGGCTTAAGAAATCAAGAACTAACTTCTTCACTCTTCTTGAGATTGCAAACTCAACCAGAGACTTAATCTCTGCCTTGAAGCCCACCGGATTATAGAGACAAATCTCAAAACTCTCTATAACCTGAATGTTTACTCTAGAGATCCATTGGAGCATATAGAGAACAAATGAAACCTTTTTGGCTTGGTAGCCGGAGGCAGATTATTCCTCCACCTCCTTGAGAGAAGACTCGTCTTTACATTATCCTTGAAGGATAAGAAAGAAAGAATCACAACAAGAACTACATCCGGTAATCTTGATATTATGTCGTTTGGGTTAAGTGATGAATCCATTCTTTTTCAAATCTCACCACTTGGAAATATCTGTCATAAATGAAGAGGACAGTTAACAATGGATGTTAAAATGCATGGAAGAAAATTAAGAAACTAGAACTCAGTCCATCAACACAACAAAGGCTTTAAACCTAATTATATTCGGTATAATACATATTTAAACTGGCTTAATTACAATGTTGTTTAACCTAAATCTATTTCCTTTCTCAGTCTACTATATCGTATGTAATTCTTTTATCTTATTAGCTATAACTTAAAGTAGTTATCTAGCTTGGTTACATATACTATTTGCAGACGAATGACCATCTTCCTTAGTTTGGTTTTCGTATTTTTTGCGCTCTTATGACTAAGAGGTTCGGGATCCATGGATTCTTACACCCTCTTCACGATTAGTTCTCTTTATGACTAAGAGTTGGGATCCATGGATCCTTACATCCTCTTAACGATTAGTTATCTTTATGACTAAGAGGTTTGGGATCCATAGATCTGTACATCCTCTTAAGGATTAGTTCTCTTTATTACTAAGAAGGTTTCGGTTTAAAATGGATTTTTGACCTTTGTGTAACTTTTTTTTAAAGCAAAACTTTGTCATCTTTTCACTTCATTTTCTAATATTTTATAAAACCTAAAATCTCAAATCAAAGACTACACATTATTGTAAGAATATTTTGTTTATGTAATCTATACGCAAATCGATAATCTCTTTCCCTATAGTTTCATAAAATGGTGATGTTTTTCTCCATAAAGATTTTAATAAACACATTTTTGCTATGATATTATTTTACACGATATTATAAACACATTTTCATCCATAACAAAGATTTAATAAGTTTTTTTCAAATTTTTGCTATGATATTATTTTACACGATTTCGAAAAAATGATTATTACACATACTGGTAAAAAGAATCATATTTCAAATGAACAATTTTTTTTTTTTTTTTTTTTTGACTTGGAAACCAGGATCACGCACCTGAAACTTATTGTCCACCCACGCTTCTGACTCGTCACAATCTCAAGAGGTTTCGTTTTTTTTGTTCTTCTGAAAATGTGAATTGTTTGTAGATTTGTTAGTATCACAATCCTCCCTCACTTGTTAATCATATATATGAACATGTAGATTCAATGAAATAAGCTAATTTGTAGATTTTTGATGAGTCATATTCAGAATAATATATATTTTGATACATGAAAGGTAAGTAATCTTTTCTTAGCTATTGTCTACTTTTTTTTGCCCAAAAAGAGAAAGATATATTGGTGGTCAAGGAGGGGTTGATTGAGATTTATTTTTTTCTAAAAAAAATGAAATATTATTACTATATAGTTTAACATTTAGTGAATCTATATATTTTGTAAATACTACCAAACTTTTGAGGATTGATGACAATCACTGATAAAATAAAAATAATATGTCAAGTTATCTTTTATATAAAGATTGATTTAAAAGTTTGTTATTAATGTGATTGCGACACATGTTAAGTTAGCTATTTAAGATTTCGACACATTAAAATATTTTTTATTTTTATTTTTGTGATAAAAAGAACAACTAATAAAATATGAATTTTACATGTGTCGTTGATCAATTATATTTTGACATCAAATTTCTATAATTACTTATCACTGATATTAACCAATAAACAATGAATTTTGAAGTTCAAAGTAACAATATAAGGGATTTAAAACTAATTTAAATGGATATCTAGTATTTATCGTTGTAATTTAAAAAATTTTATCCGAAGTGAAAACGAAAATAACTTGGAAAAGTAATGAACTTATAAGAATTTATTTAAGATAACTTGATAAGAATACTAGTATAGTATACTCAAAGCCTCAAAAAATTTTAATTAAAAATAGAATGATGTTTATGAAAAAGCATAGTGGACTAACCTCGACTTATTATTATTATTTTTTTAATTTCTATAATATGTTTTAAAAAAAGATAAAGAACAAAAAAAAATTCAAGGCAAAAATTTCTCAAAAACATAAAAAATAAAAATTTTATTCTCTTCAAAATTTGTAAAAACTTTCAATATGTAAATTCCCGATTTTCTAAGAAACCCATCATATAAAGATGGATTAATAAGAAATATTAAAAAATATAATATCATTTTCAAAAGAAATAAACAAATAAAATTGTCTCGCGGAATACGGCCGGTTATATCCTAGTGTCGATAATAAAGATTCGCTGAAACATAATTGAGTTATTCTTTTTTTTTGTCTTCAGTGATTACAATACATCATGTCTTGCTTATCAGTTATAACACATAGGGTGTATTAACAGATGATAAACAAAATAAGGAAACTAAATCTACAATACTGATCTATATCATATTTTAGATAGTACAAAGAATGATGCTTATTAACACACTCACATTAACTCACAATTGTAATGTTAAACATCACAAAACATGTCAAGAAGAGTATATATATGTAATCCCAAACTTAGTCCTGCCCGGTCTCTGAAGTATGAACCAGGTCAAAAGCGCGATTTTTGTCGACTGTGAGTGATCCCTTCACATAAGAATCAAGAAAGAAAAGAAAGTGATGAGAAGTATAATAAATGACGAGGTTGCAAGTTTTGGAGTAGCGTTGGGAAGCCATGGATAAGAGTCTGGAGATGGCATGACACAGTTATCACCGTTGAAGTAAATGCGCCTCGGAAACACCCATCCTTTCTCGAATGTGAACTCCAATGGGTTCTTTTGGAAGAGAAGCTCTGATTGTACATTGCCTACTGGACCAGCTTGGCTCAACAAGTCGTTGTAGAACTTGATTCCCCAGAGCATGGCCGTGTCATCTACGATATATGAATCCAAAAGATGGGAACAAGAGAAAGAAATGTAAATGAGAAAATTGGAAAGTAGCAAGCTAAGGACTTACTTATGCGAGCGTAAGGATTAAGAGCTTTGTAGTTAAAGCTGAAAAGCTGAGTAAGATTGTCGAAGTTTGGATGCTGAACGACTAAGTTCCATTGCGAGTAGTTCATATTGTAGTTGAAGTTTGTGATTGCGACTTTCACTCGCCAGTACTCTTTGTAGTTAGTTTTGACATGCCAATGAACTCGGATGGGACACATATGCTTCGTACATTGCAAAAGCGGTTCTAGGCTGTTCTTTCTTGAAGCAGGTACTACCGAAGCTATCTTGGGGCTGTCGCAAGAAATGTATTAGAAAAGAAATTTAAAAACTAACAAAACCAAGATTGAGATATCTATAGATAAGGAACTTACTCGAGACATGAATCAGGTTGAGAACTATTTTGACATCCACAAGAACAAGTTGGGCATGGTACTATAGTTTCATTATAGAAGGATGTGAGTGAGACACAACAAGTCGGAGTCTTCCGTGCTAGAAACTGCGAATAAGTGCACGTAATGTTCCATGTCACTACCAAAGAAAAACAACAAGAAAGGTTTAATTAGAAGTAAGAACATATTACTTATATGGAAGCATTAGATATGCAACACACAAACAAAAGCTAAACTTACACAAGGCCTGAGTCTTTCTTCGTTTATCCGCAGATATAAATTTGCTAGGCCTAACGAGTTGCGCAGGACCACAAGTGTAACCAGGTCCTGGTCCCTTTAAAGTAATGTTCCTAGGCGCTCTAACAGTCGTATTAGTCGTTCCAGATTGGCCAACACTAATCTGAAAAGAAGAAACCGCGGTTGCGGGATCTTGTGCCCACGAGCTAATTACACCGCCTCTACAACAGTTTGATATCTGTTGGGTATAAGGAGTACCAGGTAACAAGTCAACAATAGCCGGAGTTTTCTTGCAGCAATGAGGAATGTTACCCTTGAACTTAGAACAATCTCCTTGTTCTGTTGCTTGTGCACCAACCATACTCCATATCACTTCCTTCTTCCTCCAACTCCATCCCAATTGCCACCCCGGCGCCTCAATGTGACGGTATTGTTGGAAATTGAAGATTGTCACAACAGCCTACACCCCAAAAAATCATATAAATAAACATTTTCCTATAACAATGTGATATAGTATAGTGAAGTTACAAGAGTTCTTACCACATAACCATCAGGAGTCCATGACATAATATCCCATTTTATAGTAATATTTCCATTTGGATCAAGTGCATCATAAGCTTCTGTGTTGACAAGATAAAATCAACTGAGTAAGCTCATAACCACAAAACAGAACCAACCCATATAAAGAACTTATCAATTGGTTAAAGATTAAAACTCGAAAATTTAAAACCCTAAACCATCATCATCATCATCATCACCATCATCATTAAGAGAATTATAATTTTATCAGAGAATGCAAAAGAGACAAAAGTGTAAAGTTCTTGTTTCGGACAGAACAATGAAACCAAACCTGTTGTGGTGAAACTAATCCAAGAACAGAGAAACAAAAGCAAAACAGATAATCTTGACAAGTGAATGTCCATTTTCTCTGATCTCTGAGCGAGCAAACCGTTTCTTTGATCTCTCCCGCCGGCGGAAACTTCTCGAAGATGTGAGAAAGAGAGAGAGAGGAGAGAGAAGAAAGACAGAACAACTGGCTTTAGTTTTAACATTAAAGACTTCGAAGCACTTAAAGCCAAATATTCCTTGTTTTAATCGGTCTTTCATTAGCTTACGTTTTATATAGTTTATAGAAAAATTGAACCAAAAGAAGAAATACATTTACTATTTTTTAAAATAAGCATACGTTACAAATTAAAAGTAATCTTGTGAACAAAAAAAAACTTATATATTATTAATCTTAGCTGGCTTGCAAATAAAATTTCAGAATTTTATTTTAAAACAATTAGAGCCAGTCAAGTTTACACCTAAATAATGTCGGATGATATGATAAATTAATAATAGAAAAATCTTACACTCTTTTAATTATGTAAAAATAAAGAAAATATTATCATGTTTGAAGCTGTGATTTTTGGCTGGTATATTATAATTTTTAGTTTTCGGTCAAATTATAAAATCAGTTTATAAGAAAAAAAAATACAAGAATAAAAGTATAATTTCAAGGGACCAGATAAATCGGATAAACATATAAGCAAGAAACGAAGACTAGACAAAAAACAAATTTATATTTATATATATATTCAGAGTAATAATATTTTGTTTTTGTCAAACTAAGAAAATATATAAAATTTTATTTAGTGGCAAAGTACAGTTGTTTGGAGAAAATGACTGCAATGTTTGTCACATTGCTATGGCCTATGGGTTCATCCGAATCTGGTACCTTTTTTTCTTACGTTTTCATTCGTCTTGCACGGAATAAATTGGACTGATATGTATTTCATGTATGGGTTATTTATATATATCCAACATGAATAACTCACTCAACTATTACCAGTAGCAATAGCTCTATCCAATTTATATCTGAGCAATAATATGCCCACTATGCATTCTTCCTAAATGTATGCTTCCAGTTAGAAATTTCCTGTCGACAATGAGTAATCGACTGACTCATGGATCCAGTATTGATCTTTCTCCACCCTTTGAGAACCGATTCCCTAAAACCTTCTTTATGGGTGTTGCGGTAATAAGGGTGAGGATTGCCATACACAAAAGATAGATAGAAAACTGAATCCATTACTTGAAACTGTAGATTCAGTGAGATGAGAAGACTTAGAAATGAACTAGAACATCAATTGATTTTTTCCATAAAATAACTAAGCCACCACTTTGACCATTTGGAGGAAGTGTTACTGAATGATGAAATCCTAAATTTCTTAGTATCCTCAACAATCGTCTTTCTAATTAAAAAGGAAACTCTATCCAACGTCGGTTATTAAAACAATGCCAAATTCCCTTTACTTAAAAACACCGACGTCTGTTATCGTATATCTTGTACTTTTGTTTAAAGCCTGATAGGTCCAAGTCAGAAAACAATAAGAACTAAGAGACACAAAGGTTTTTCAATGGGTAGTTATGACTACCTCTTTTTGGCTTTTCTGATTATTTATAGTAAAACATTACAAGAATTAGAACTATTGAGTCCTAAGAAGATAAGGAGAGAATAAGAGATAACACCAATCCTAAAACATTATTATCCTAAAGATTGTAAAACCCAAAACCAAAACATAACACCAAAACCGCTTGCTTCTAATCCAAGTAACGAGGATTAGGCCGTTTCGTACGTATGGGCCGATCCGATAATATTGGCCCATTAATACCCTTCCCCCGAAGAATAACCTTGTCCTCAAGGTTAGGGACAAATGCAGGGAAGCTTGCTGCCACCTGAACCTCCTCCTCCCATGTTGCGTCCTCCTCACTAAGCCCTTTCCACTTGATTAAAAGTTTCCTTGTCGTTTTGTTCCCAACTTGTACGTCACGACGGCGGAGAGCTACTTCGGGCTGCAAATGAAGGTAACCATTCTCTCGTAGAGGGGGTAACGCTCCCTGAACTGGGGATGTCGACCCTATGTGCGGTTTTAAAAGAGACACATGGAAGACCGGATGAACACGCGAACCGGGGGGCAACACAAGACGATACGCCACCTCGCCAACCTTGGATTCAACTTGAAATGGGCCAAAATATTTATGAGCCAACTTCTGAGAAGTACGACGCAGAACAGAACGTTGCCGGTACGGTTTGAGGCGAAGGTAAACCCAACTACCAACTGCAACTCGCGCCGCTTACCATCGATGTGCTGCTTCGTGCGGTTATTCGCTCGATGGAGATGTTGTTTCAGGTCAGAGAGCAACTCATCACGGGTTGCCAATTGCTCATCTATTTCTGCCAATGTCGAGGAGCCAACCTCATACGTCGGGATAGACGGCGGAGCCCGGCCATAGAGAGCCTGAAACGGTGTTGTTCCTGTAGACAAATGGTAAGTGGTATTATACCAAAACTCAGCCAAGGGAAGGAGAGAACTCCATTGTGTTGGCCGGTTCTGCACAAAACATCGGAGAAATTGTTCGATGCAACGATTGACCACTTCTGTCTGTCCATCGGACTGGGGGTGATATGCTGTTGACATACGCAATTTTGTGCCCGCTAACTTCCAAAACTCCCGCCAAAACAAACTTACAAAGATCGGATCTCTATCACTGACAATGGAACGGGGCATTCCATGTAACTTAACCACGGCTTCCACAAACTTTGCTGCCACGATTTTAGCCGTGTAAGGATGCGTCAATGGGACCAAATGAGCCGATTTAGACAACCTATCGACTACTACCATGATCGAAGTGTAACCATCGGACTTGGGTAAACCATCAACAAAATCCATGGAAACGTCCTCCCAAATATTATCCGGAACAGGAAGTGGCTGAAGTAGTCCCGCCGGAGGAAGAGACGATGATTTGGCACGTTGACAAATATCACACTCCGCCACAAACTGCTTGATCGTTTGATGCATTGAGGGCCAGTAGAATTGTTTAGCCAATCGTTTGTGAGTCCAGAGAACTCCGGAGTGGCCTCCCATCGGCGTATCGTGATGCTCACGCAAGAGCTGAAGTATTAACGGGGATGATTGGGGTATTACCACGCGGTTTTTGTAACACAACAGGTCATTACGCCAAGAGTATGGGTCGCCTGGTTTCATATCTGGTTGCTTTGCCATCTTTAACATATAAGTGTCGGTCCTACTCAGCTCTCGGATGTCATTCCAAAGACTTGTTTGTTGCACAAAAATGGCATTAAGCACCGGGCTACCCTGGACACGAGACAAAGCATCAGCCGCCGTGTTAGTCTTACTGGGTTTGTAGGTAATCTCGTAATCATACCCGACCAACTTCCCTATCCACTTTTGTTATTCAGGAGTCATGATCCGCTGTTCCAAAAGGTAACGTAAGCGGCTTTGATATGTTTGTATCTTAAAATGTCTTCCAAGGAGATAAGGCCGCCAAGTACGAATAGCAATAACGATGGCCAACATTTCTCTAGCATATGTCGACCAAGACCTCTTAGTAACCCCTAGCGCTCTGCTCATAAATGCGATCGGTCGCTCGTCTTGAGAGAGAACCGCACCAATACCCTCACCCGACGCGTCAGTTTGAATAACAAAGGGTTTTGAAAAATCTGGTAGTCCTAGGGTAGGTGTAGTTGTCAAGGCTTCTTTCAACTCCAAGAATGCTGCCTGTGCTTCATCAGCCCACATAAAACTGCCTTTACGAAGTAAATTGGTCAATGGTTTAGCAATTAGCCCGTAGCTCTTAACAAACTTACGATAGTAACCCGTTAAGCCGAGGAATCCACGAAGCTCCGTGACTGTAGTCGGCACAGGCCAGTCCAGCATAGCTTGTATTTTGGTCATGTCGACCTTCACACCATCCGCTGAAATAATGTGACCCAAATACTCTAACTCCCGCTGGCCAAAGTCGCACTTTTTAAGCTTCACGGCTAACTTGTTTTTTCGTAAAAGAGAAAAAACTATCTCCACGTGCTGAAGATGCTCCTCCCAAGTAGAGCTATATACCAATATATCATCAAAAAATACAAGCACAAACTGCCTAAGGTAAGGCCGAAAATGTCGTTCATTAATGCTTGAAATGTTGATGGGGCATTGCAGAGGCCAAAAGGCATAACCAAGTATTCATAATGCCCATTACGAGTGCGGAATGCGGTTTTAGAAACATCTTCCGGGTGCACCCTGACTTGATGGTACCCTGCAGTGAGATCTAACTTTGTGAAAAATACTGCTCCATGTAACTCATCCAACATATCGTCCACTGTTGGTATAGGGAAACGGTCTTTAATTGTCACAGAATTTAGGGCTCTATAATCCGTACAAAACCGCCAAGTACCATCTTTCTTTTTAACAAGTAAAACCGGAGATGAAAAAGGACTAGAGCTCATGCGAATTATCCCGGCCTGTAGCATCTCGTTAACATGTTTCTCAATCTCATCTTTTTGAAAATGAGCATATCGATATGGTCTAACATTTACCGGATCCGTACCTTCCTTCAAGGGTATGCGATGTTCAATGCTCTGTTGAGGTGGAAGTTGAGTCGGGATACGAAATAAATCATCGTATTCGTTGATGAGAGGCCGTATACCCTCAGCAATACCCGGCGCCTTATCCAAAGATGGATTGATCTGAACCGCAAACAAAGCTTGACCTTGCTTAGCTTCCTTGACCATTTCCTGTGGTTCTGCCTCTTGAATGCTTGTCTTGATTCCTTGTAGCGTATGTGAGCTGCCTTCCCGCACAAAATTTATCTTCTGGGTATTCCAATCACATACAATTGGACCTAAACTTCGAAGCCATTGCACGCCTAGAACCACATCCAATCCCGCTAATGGTAAAGCGTAAAACGTGACTTTGAAGCTAATATTGCCTAGCTGCACAACCACCATTTCAAATTTACCTCGACACTGCAAAGATTTTCCATCTGCGACCTTCACCGTAAAAGCTTTGGTTGGGGTGAGATGAATTTTCAACTCCCGAGCTGTTTTCTCGCTAATGAAATTGTGGGTCGAACCACTATCCACCAAGGCTGTCAAAGTATGTGTACCGATACGTGCAGCTAACCGTAGTGTCTGTGGTGTGTTCCATCCTGTGAGAGCATAAGCAGTGATCTCATGGTTCTCAT